CCCCGTAAATTCCCTGAGGTGGCCACGTGCGGATGTATTGATCGTGGACGTCGCGGCGCTTCTCTCGCACGCACACGCACAGACGCCGCCCCCACTCTACCCCCCCCCCCTGTAGACGCCTTCACCAGCTCTCCCACGCACAGACCTCCTCTAATTATAGGACCATACTTGACAACACCTATGCTGAATAATGTGCGGCCTTTTACGAGTGTAAAACAATATACTCATTTTGGTACTAAACATAAATTACTAAAAGGTTGTTAAGTACAATTACGGTTCGGTGGATTTATGAGGATTAAGTAACACTTTAAGGTTTTTAACTACGTTAATAGTTTTCCTTACGACCGTTTTATAAAGTAGCCATTTCAGTTCAGTTTTTAGAATTGAAAAGTTTCACATAACAGCATTGATTATTTTAATAACATCATAGTTTTACTCATAACAACACGGGTAACGGACCAATGAGGTTTAACGATTGAGAGAGAAGAAGTAAAGCTGTAATGATTCGAAAATCAACTAATCAGCTGTTCAGGCCAATTTAAATTCTGAGTGGTACAATTCAGGGTACAATTTGTGTTTGGTGCAATGTTTCGTAGCATCATTGGCAGTGGCAATGAGATGTTATATACGAAAACATAACTTCTCTTAGTTATGAGAAGTTATGAGTAGCGATTTTAAGTAATTAAAACATTGTCGTAGGTAAAGTAGTGTACGCAATCGATGCGTAAACTACTATTGTGACAATGTAGACTTTTCACTGGTTCAATTTGTTGAGGAATACAAACTGTAACTACTTTAGCTGGAAAACTTAAAACACCACTAGTCCCGATACCCTACTAGTAGAATAAAACATTAATAGGCCTAATCCAACAATTAATTTAGTGAATTTGATTGTTTTTGCACATAAATCACCTTAAATAAATAAAAAATTAAAACGTATTTCTAAATTCGTTGCAGAAAACGTTTCTATTATACATCTATTTTCCACAAAAGTACAACCACCGTCCATCAAACAAAATACCTTAACCAAACCACAGACAATAGGTCTATAGTCTGTGACCAAACTAACGAACATTTCATAGAGTACAAAATGAAAGAACAACGTATAAAATGCATTTTTAATCAAACGCGCGCCGCCGAAAACGTTTCGGTTCCTTACGTAAGGGATGAGGGATGTTTATGGAGGGGTTGGACCCGAGGTCATTGACCGCGGAGGGATTTACTCCCTATGTAACCCCGACAGAAACCCAGCAAACATCATAAACGGCATAGAGGAAAGTCAACTTTATTGTATTTCTCTTCATCCTGAATGTTACGAGAGAGTAACTAGAAAAGAGGTATTCGGCGATGGGAAATTCCAATTTGATGACGTTTGTTAGTTAGCTGAGAAAATTGTTAAAGCACAAACAAGAGTGGTCATTTTTGTTTAATGCTAATAGGTGGATTACATGTATAGGCCTATTTCAAAATTCCTCTACGTTAAAAAATGCCAGAATACTGACAATCTGTCTGCACAGCTGATACGGACAAATGGTCATATCGATCAAGTGGCTTGACTGCCATAAATATCCAAGCCGCACAACTGACAATACGAGCAAATGGATTGCCACGGGCTACTATGACTGTCTTCAATCATAGACAGTATTCATAAATTACGCCGAAAAATATTATACTACATACTTCATTCACACAGCCACGTACTGTACTTCGCATTTCAAGCTGAATAAAAGGATTAAGTGTAGAATGGGAAGAGGCTATCTGTCTAGCATTGCTTATTGTCTATACGACCAGCTGTTTTGGTTACACCCATTGGTAGGACTGTGGTCCATTTTTTTATACTCAGGATAAAACTATGATCTTCTAATTATTATTCCAACACAATATCCACCCAACTAACCAACTCTTCTGTAAATCAATCAACTACAAGTTATACGTAAACCCCCATCCCTTTACTCACACTATTCGAATATCCCCTAATCTTGAACAGATCCTTGAGTATAGACGGATCAATAACTGTGGCGTGGGTCCATAGAGTAATAACTTTCAGCAATATAAACTGAGAACAAAGAGAGTCTGATAAGAAAACCGATACAAATGATAAGATAAGCTTTGTTGCGTAACTGGTGACGTGGATGGAGGCCATGTTACCTTGGGTTGAACCATTGGTAGGTTAGGTTGTATATGTTAAACAGTCAGTTAGCACGTTGCAAGGTAATATGCAAGTTTTATGTTAATTGCGCAAAGGCTAAGTACGTGACTTACATTGGATACTAAAGTTTCAAAGATAAAATAAATGTGAACTATTTAATTAATAAATTTTCATCCTGATTAACCAAGAAAGTTCGATCAACCCTTAATGTTACTGAGATGGGAGTATATTTTTGACCGTATTATAATTCTAACCACGAATGCCGTGGGCCTACTTGAACAGAACAGGTATAGCCATGTATCATAAACATAAACAAATGCCGTTTTTGGCCCGAATCCTAATATCATTTAACATGGTTTAGACAGTTCCATTTAAGCAATACTTTCGGGCCAATAACATAATTTGTTTATGTTTCTATGATCCATACCGGGCATGTTCTATATTCGGTATTCTAGCGCTTTACTTTCGAATAAACTACATGATAAAATACGTTTTACATAGCATTAATGGTAGAGATTCCATATATAAAGGCTACATTGACCCCTTTCAAAATAGTTGGTTTCAGTAGGCTACAAAGAAATATGTGGTAACGGCACTCTATAAATGTTCGATAACTAGATTTATTCGATATTCATCCGCAACAGAAAGATCATAAACACAATAATTATGTCAGCAGTCAGCCTATCCCACCGCCTAGCTGGTATAAAAATAGCCGTCAATCTAGAACAGCTGATTGTAATATGATTTTAGCTCCTGATGAACTTACTGACTGTACACTCAACTCGGTGAATCATCAAGTTACGACGTTAATGTTTCATCAACTCCCTTATTCCATTGTGAAAGGAAAACACATTTTTTTAGCCCTGAACAAACCTAAGCAACTATGTTGCACGTCATCGTAAATTAAACCACTACTTTTTCTAAAAAAAATTGACTAATTTCATTAATTTTTGACTGGTCAAATCTCAACTAAGTAAAACTGTTATAAATCGACTTGACTGGCATTAGATATTGTGTGTTTAACTTCGAAATCACTTATTTATTTACCTCTGCTTGAAATAAACGACAGGTAAGTTAGACCAAACCGCATTTATAATTCAAATTCTCAATACTGTATTTACGTACGGAAAACGACGTTGGTTAATTTCTCAAATGCTATAGGCTACAGAAAAGAAAACTTACTTTTTACACTGTAACCTAAACAGGATGTAAAGTAATCCAAACCGAATAAAAATAAGTGCTTATTAGCTTACAACGTTGGGTTTGTTGCCAAGCCACTGTTGCTACCCGGCATTTCCGTCGTAGACGCTTGTCGTCCACGGCCTTCAAAATATGGTCAATCTCTTAACTCTTCGCGATTGTGTAAAGATACGACAAAGACAACGGAACCTTACTCACTTATCTTATCCAAATCGTTATGAAAACAAAGGAACTACCTTAAAGCAGTGATTTAGTGTAGCAAAAGGCATGTTGCCACAAATGTAGGTATCTACAACTAACTAAGCGATTTAAAAATAAATACGGTACACAAATAAAAGGAAAAGGGCCTACCTAGTTCCCCTTTTGTATAAGCTATATAGGTCATAGGTGCCCTTTCTAATCATTGAGTGTAAGGTGTAAAACAATTAATTGCAACCAAAGCTACCAGTCATGGGGGTAATTATCTTAAAGTTTATATACCTACAAAAACGTAAAATTTAACTTAGCATTGAGTTAAGTTTAAGCGTCGCTCGAGGGCGATGCCGGGGCAAGATGTCACGAAACTAGGTCAGACGACAAGGCGTTTGATCTAATTCTGTCAGAATGTGAAACCCAAATGATGGCTACGAATCTAACTTATTTTAATTTTTTATAACTACTAAACTAAATCTAAAAATTGCTAGATTAGCCAATTGTAGGCCTACATCCAATACAAAAATCTAACTGCAATGCAGACCAATCTAATTAATATACAGTTTTTCCTTTGCTTTGCACAAATAAAATAAGGGTTGATTTGAATCCCTTACATTTGTTAAAGTTAACTTATTTGAAGCTCACATTTAATGGACAATCTGGGAGAAATAATACAAACTGCCACTTTGGAACAAACATAACTTAAATCTCTCAAAGCTAAAAGTTACAATGATACTGCAATGATAGGCATCAGTAAAGAATAAAACTCGAGCAGCCCAAATTTCGACATAGTTTGGTTCTGTTCCTGTCACATTTAAATTTAAATGCAAACAGGTGTTTGTAGTAGGGCGGAAACAGCTGATCAATATACTGTTCGACTAGCCTGCTAGCCCAGTTGTGCTTGAACCCGGAACTCCTATTTTGATAGCAACTTACTGAACAAGGCTGTCCGCACCCTAACCTAAAAAGTAGGATTTTTAATTGAAGCTGGTGCTGAACCTGTACATTTGCATGAATATAATTACTTAGTTAAACACAAAATGCTATGTTTATACAGTGTTACTAAACATATCTCAGTGGTTAAGGAGATAGCCAGGTCTATCGACGTGTCATATCACTGAAGGTTTTAGTTTAGTACAGTAATTTGTATAGGCCTACAGACTCAAAACCCACAAAGACCTCGGAGTTTACTCTAGCCATTTCTAGCTGACTAACCCCCCTGCATATAACTTGCAACCTGGCCTAATTCTGATTACTGTGTGACTAAAATTGCAAATTGAAGTCGTCAACATACACGAACTGAGCCTAGGCCTACTCGATTTACTTCACCCAAAGAGAACTACAATAATATTCATCCACCCCTACTTAGGAGTAACCCTATCGTATCGTAAGGGCAAGCTCAAATCGCGAAATTGGCAATCTATCTCCCACTCCCTTACTAAGTTTTAGTTTTGATTACCTGGTAACCGGTGGCTGTCAGTTCAAGCCTTTTAACCGATGATCGAATCACCATGGAAATCCAGTGGATGTCGTTGGAGTTGGGGACACAAGAACACATAACACGCGAACGTCACTGTATGAACGGCACGACTCGACTGAACGGAACGAACGAGAACAACCCGACAATGAACGAATACTCGCTCCGGCGCTCACTCTAGCGGGAGGAGTGGGAACGCCCACCCCTCCCCACACTACGTCACTGTTGCCAACAGAGCAACAACACTCAAGACACAAACATAACCTCACCCTCACCCACAAGAAACGTTAAAAGGATTTTTTTGTTATTTATCCTTTCTTATCTGAAAATATATATTTTCTTACAGAAAGTAATCAAAATCATTTATCAATATGCGAACATCATACGCTCACTTTATCCTCACCTACCACCTAGAAACTGAACACCACACCACCCATTTATTTGGTTACCATTAAAGACGAATACGAAAAATGCGTATAGGGCGAAGCCCGAAGTGAAATCGCCATTCGCCATTCGTTTCTCAGCTAGATCATAAGCTTGTTTATCGCTAATAACACCTAAATCGTAAAAGTCGATTAAGTAGGACGGGTGAAAAAGGCTTGTTACAGATAAACCCCTTTATATTATGTTAATAATTAAGGAATTTCTCTGTAACATCATTTTTTGCTCACCCTACTTAACAGATTTTACGATTTAGGTGTAATTTTTAAGCTTATGATCTAGCAGAGCTACGAATGGGAAAAGGCAATCCCACTTATTAAAAAACACTACTAACTGCCGTCTTCAAATTTTCTTTTAAATATAAGTGATGCTGACAATCTTTCTTTGAAGCGTTTTTTAATGATAATTGTATTCCACAACTGATCCTTTAGACGGATGCTTATAATCCCAGTTAGATAATAAACAATTAGATAATAATACTATAATATTATAAATGTGAAAGTTTGTGTGTTTGTTTGTTTATTTGTTTGTTTGTTTGTTTGAAGTTCAATCACGTTCTACTAATCGGATTGGCCTGAAATTTGGTACGTTGATAGCTCACATTCCCGATTAACATATAGACATATTCTTATCTCAAAAATCCTTTCGGGCTCCGCCCAGTGGCTCTGGAGTTTCCAATGTTAACCTTATGAGAATTCATATTTAAAAGGGATTGAAGGATTTTGTCAGCTGTTTCAATTACACAATTTGTTCTATGATATTCAATATTATTAAAAGTTATAAGGTTCGCCGACAGGGTGTAGCACTATTATTTGATTTTTAATTCAACATAGCTAATTTGAACCAAACCGCAACAAAAGGCTGTGATGCACAATAAGAACTGTTACAGTAGGATTGTTTAAAATTAAGTTTATGTTTTTAATATATAAATAATGTTTTGATATTGTGCGGATATTCGAAAATTTACTTTTTTATTGTTTAGGTGTAGTGGTAGAACATTATTGCTATGGTATATGTGTTATACTATAGCTTCCGTAAATTAAAAGAATCAAATTTTATCAAACCGTGTCCTCTTCCAATGCAAACACAAAGCATGAGTATAACTGCAATAAGCATTTTATACTTATACGCAAACCCCGTACGAAGGACGGGTATTCTGCTAGTAAACAATATAGGAAACAGTTTATGATTCAATTGCTTAGTATAGGCTACTTATAGTGATAGTAATCTGATTAAAGTACAGTAGGTAAATGATTGTCTCTAAAAAAAACATCTACAATCAGCCAACTTAATTTATTGCCAATTTGTAGTTTTATTCACTTAATAACTATTGTTTCAAACAAAGATATCATTTTTGAAAAGTAATTTATTCGTTTACGGTTTACACAGTGGTGGTCTCAGGGGGGGGGGGTTGGAGAGATACACCCCCCCCCCCCCCCGAAATATTTTATATTTTAATACCTAACATAAATACTATTACCTTGAGCATATTTAGAGCTATAATACGTATAAAAATACGTTTTTAGGTTTTAAATTCCACATTTTTTCCGGGAGGGAACCCCCGGACCCCCTTTTTTCTGGGAGATATTCCATACCCCGACCCCCGGTCGTCATTCCCTCCGAAATTAAATCCTGGGACCGCTACTGCGTTTATACAATTAATTTTATTCGTTTGGCCTCGGAAACCAGTTATGATCATTGTAAAACGTACGGACGACCCATTGTATAACCCATTCCCCTATTTAATTTTAAGACTATTGACTAGGCCTATACTATTTCCTCTTATGTCTTGCAACACAAAGTTGAGCCAAGTTTTCCGACATGCCATTCATTGATAAGACCAGTTAACTAGTTTACGACGCCACGTGTATTTACTACAGCAACTACCTTGGTATTAGTAGTACGTTTTCTGTGATTACGGCGGGAGGAAGGGAATTCTGCCTTCTTGGTGTAGGACACATCATGGACTCATTTGAAACAATGCATTGGAGATTTTCAAATATATGCGGTATAATATTTTATTTTGCTTTAAATTGATCAAAATCAGAATTCAAGGAAAATTTCTTCAATGACACGATGCTGTATTATAATAATTTACATAATTTAACCAAGATAACTAAAATTCACAATATTTAATCCCCAAACCAAAACATATAATTAAAAATACCATTGTAATACAGGGTGAGGCAATGAGAACTCTACAATTTGTTTTACCTGTCACGTGTTAATTGTTGCAACAATGAATGATCAGCTGTGCTTAAAACATCAATTAAACTATGCCATTTTAGTAAATATTATGCCTGAGGCTATTAACACTGAGATTTTGATGTGGAAACCTATTTATAAAATAGTGGTTCTTGAGCAAAAACCCAGAGATGGTTTGGACCGTATTCCATCCTTGGTCAACATGGCGCTGTTCCAGATTGGAAAACAATGTTGAACTGGGTAAAATTATTTAGGATAATCGCTTAAACAAAAAAAATAATCGGTGGGTGCCGCAAAACTCTTTGTACACCAGCAAATGTTAAAAGAATATGAGTCCAAGTAACTCAAAGTCCGAAGAGATTTGCCAGGAAGCTTTTGTTGTTGAAAGCTTTACGTTGGCTAATTTTTTGGGAGGGGGGGGGGGTTGTTCTAATAAGCTACTTGACGTTCTAGGTTTTTCAAAGTCACCCCACAGATCTGCTTGAAACGGAGCTAAGAATGGTCCAAAAACTAAAGTGATTCCAGAAGAAGTGCTGGAAGAGTATTTGATGGAGTTTCAAGTGGATAAAAAGGAATGTTAAGTAGGACAATGAGTCACTTGTAGGATTTTGTTCTCAAGAAATGGAAAAATGACTTTGTTAAGTTAAAATGGCAAAAGATAAGCTGATGTGTTTTGGTGTGCTATTTATATCCATAGGGTAAATATTATTGAGTTTGTACTGTTTATAAATTGGGGTGCTTTCATTGCCCCACCCTGTATTATATATCTAGTTGGTAAAACGAGTGTTAAATATAACCTTGACTTATATTTCCACTTTTGGAAGCATAAAAAGGCGATTGGCTATAAAAAATGTTGATAGATGAAAGATTTTTATTGGACAATTCATGATCACGCCCAACAAATGAACCCTCCTAATTACAATAATCACTTGGGTTGTGCATTGTCCTGAGTAAGTTGTGACTGGATCATTCTATAGTAGCAATATATCTTTGTTTATAATCAAGCTTATTACTGCAGAGTCAATATCTTGAGCAGGGTCCCTGTTGTGTATGACTAAATATTCAGGACACAGAGTAAATAAAGTTACGACAGGGTTCGATCCTCTATGTTAATACATTGGAAACACACCTCGATGTATAAGTTACATAACCTAATGAAAAATGTATGCTTCTGTCTGGCTCTGGCATATGTAGAGTACGTTTCGACGTTTACATATATCTTATCACCAATTTCAAACCATGCCAACCAAATAAAGTAATGTATCTATGAAATATCACTTGTACTCTGCCAATATAACCTAATAGTAGAGAGCACAGGAACACACTTTGAAATTAACCCAATGAGAGAAAACAATTTTAGTGGTATTGGTCATGAACAGATTTAAGATTTGGTGAAAAGAGTGAGGAGCTTACTTCAAGTATATACACGTTTCTGTCAGTGCAATAGTAATTTTTATTTAAATCCCCTCATGAAAAACTTGGGAAATTCAAAATGGCCTTCGTACCTTTTACTACCACAATCAACTTACCAGCTGTAAATAACTTCTGCTATCACATGGTTTACAATGTAAACCGATCAGCTGATTAGCGAATGCACGATAAACAGCTGGTCTTGTACTTGAGGCACTGCCACCGCGATAACGACTGACCATGGTGCTCATGTAGGTTCGAGATATTTAATTGATCTTGATTAGGCAACGAGGTGAGTTCAATTTTTAATAGAGGCAGAGGTCACTTGAAGTACATACGCACAATACAGGTTTGCAGTTCACATTTGGGTTTGAAATTGTAGTAAGGTCAAAAGAAACTACCTAAATGATGAAGTAAATAGATTTATTTTAAATTTAATTTAAGGAAGTGTTGAAAATAGCTCTGCAATAGTACAATGCATGTCAGATTAATAATTTATTTGTTAAAAATTACGATAAAATCTATGTAATAAAACTATTCCAGAGTCAATTATAAAGGGTTAGAAAATAGAGAAATTCCATGGGAGTTTTTTATATAGCAAAATGACTGAAATATTCTCACAGACCTTTGCTTCAGTTGCATTTCAGATTCTTGTGTGAGTTATTGAGCATCTGAATTTTTTACTGTGTTTTGAGATTTGTGCATGTAAATTGCACATTGCTATGGGCAAATAGGAATTGGTCATAAAACTAAAGAACATTACCGGGAAATACGTGCCATTACCACATTAAAATTACAGTCATAACTACATTTAATTTGCTAAACACTACGTTCTTATCGTTTCCATGTGCTATATCAACATAATATTATGGTGTATACTGTGTCCTTAACTTTGTGTATGTATAACTTTTTGTTGGGGGTTAAACTTTAAGTGTGCACTCTTGCCCAGGGTTGCCACCTTTGGTTAGGGAAAAATCGGGACATGGCCTCCCTCCCCCCGGATTATCATAGGCTTAAATACGGGCAGAAGGAACTGAAATCGGGACTGTCCCGGCAGAATCGGGACGGGTGGCAACCCTGCTCTTGCCCCAAGCTCCTTATGTGC